ACATCTACATTGATGGAAGCCTGAGTGCAGATTCCTAATGATTTTGTAGTTAGGATATGTGATCTTCTACCAATAATTATTCTCCACTTGAAAAGTAGCTTCTGTCTTGCCACTGGACTCTGGTTAGAACTGAGTATCAGAATACAAGACTAGTAACCAGAACTACACATCAAAAAGTTATTACCTCATTGAACATATCATAAAATGAAAGGCATACAGTAGCATTTCATTGTTAAAGTAAACCGAAACCAAGCAGGTTTAGGAAGGCCAAAAAGCATGCAGCCAGACTTCGTGAGTTTGAGTATGAAAAGGTTAACGTACAAGTGGCCATTGTAATACTTAGAATGACCCTTCCAAAGGAGATTTTACTCTCTGTCCTGAAACTTTGGGGCTTTTGAGTATCTCAGTACCGAAGTAAAGCATGCTTTTGCCAGGGTTTAAGGTTCTGGTGTTGCTGGGTTGGAAGGGGAGAATACTTGTTGGCTATTTTGGGTATCTCAAGCTGCTGAACGAACAAAGAGAATCTGGCTACCTTTAGTAATGTTTGAAGATTATTAAATTGGTTTTAGGTTATTATACAATAAGGTAAAGGAAAATTATGTTTGGAACTCAGTGGGTTCACTGGGACATCTCTTTAAAAAAAAACCTTATCCAGTAATTTTAGTTATTGAAAAAACTTAAGTAAACAAAGATACCACCAAAGACTCAGAATTTGCAGAAATTAAGGTTAGGGTTACCCATCAGATAATAAATCTTATCTAGTTCAATCTTAGAAGATAGTGAGGGTCAAGGGAAAATGGAAGTGAGTGGAATAATGACAATATTTCACTTAATGGATCAGTTTTAATGCATGATAATGATCATTTATGAGCTCTGACCAATCAGAATGTCATGGGCTTTAGTACCTATGTCTTATGTTCTAGTAAGTATGAAGAACATTGGTGATGGCTAATATTTTAGAATCCAGTTGGAAGTACAAATGAATTATATCACCCCGGATAATGAGATAGATGAGTGCCTTTTCCCCAGTAGTCACTCCATTAAACTGTCATTAATTACCTAATTTGAGTATGCTATATATGTTTCTGCAGGAAGATGGCTTAGCATATTATAAGTCACAAAATTAGCACAATTGCAGTTATAAGGACTATATCTTTATTTTTGAAGAGGGGTAAAATATGTACAATAACTATGATGTTAAAAGCAACACATTGTGATTTTAGTTTAGTGCATGGTGAGAGATACAGGTCTAGTTTTAATCTTTGGCAAGTTGAAGCCCAATTTTTCCAGCACCATTTATTAAAGAG